ATAGCCATGGATCTTTGACTTTGTTACTTTTCCTACACAAAAGAGAGAAAAATTTAATTATAAATTTACTACACATTATTTAACATGCTCCTTTGAATATTACTAAAATTAGAGGAGAATTGAAGTAAAATGTACACAATAACTTTAGAAGGTGTGCTAAATATACAATAGAATCACACATTCCATGTACTCATCAATGATCTTAAAGGGCTTTCCATTACACAATGAATGCTTTCTCAAGAAGCCTATATATATGAAAATACCTGAAGAAAAGAGAGAAAACCTAAGTGTGAATACTAAGCTATGATTTCACTATGCCAATTAGAGTCGTTAAAGTGGGTTCCAGCCTATGGACTGTAGACCCCTAAAATTGTCCGGGTCGGAAATAAGACTCGAAGACTCTCAAAGATCGAAAGAAAGTCAGCCAGAAGGACTCCTAGAAGACCATAGGATGGCTATCTGTAGGTTTAGAGGTCTTAGAGTACCTAAAAATAAGGAAGTGGGAGGTTTGGAGCTCAATACGGCCTCCTTGGAGTTCAGTACGGCCGTACTGCACATTTTGTACTACAATACGGCCGTACTGAAACCAATACGGCCGTATTGAAGTTTCTGTATTTCAATACGGCCGTACTGAATTCAATACGGCCGTATTGAAGTACAAAAACTCAATACGGGCCGTATTGAACCCAGGGGCCGTACTGCGCCTCATCCCTATAAATAGGACGTCATTTGGACGTCATTTCACACTTTTCCACACAGTTTTGACTCCCTCCTTGAGTATTCTGGGGTTTTTGAGCAGTGTTCTGCCCTAGAAATCTCTCTGGGAGTCGATCCGACGAAGTTCTGGAATTCCGAGCATTTAGCTTGGAGATTCGAACTTAGTCGAAGGGAAATCCTCTGGATTTCCATAGTCAAAAATTATTTTTAGGAAGGAGTGAGCGGGCTTGTAGAGCGAGGGAACGCCAAAAAGCTTCCCAGTTTTACTTGATATATAAAAAGCACGCTTCAAGAGGTTTCTTTTCTAAAAATCCCTTCTTTTACTGCTTTCTGTGTGCATATTAAACTGTCATCATGTAGATAGTTAATTTATAATTGCTTAGAATAAATAGGGGTAATTTAGTAATTTTGCACTATTATTTTTAGAAATAATCTGTCATAGGGAACCCGAAAGGGGCGTTGTGGGGTGCTAACACCTTCCCCACACGTAACCGACTCCCTTACCCAACTCTGGTTGTAATGGCCGAAGTCGATTTTTGAATCGATTGCCTTAAACTTCTTTTTCCAATGTTTTGAGTAAAACATTGGTGGCGACTCCATGAACCCTTCCTTTTTATGAAAACCGCTAATCCATGGAGGGTCCCGCTTGGGATTAACATGGATTGGTGAGCCTTTTAATAAAATTGCTCGTTTGACAAGGTCTCAGTTTGAGAATAAGTCATTCTAGCAATCCATATTTTTAAACTAATAAAAGAGTCCAACCATCCTTCGCGAATGCCGAAAGCCCGTTTCGGGCCGGTGGCGACATGGACCAACCCGGTCCACCTTGAAAACGGGTGAAGCCAGGCTAAAAAAATGAAAAAATTTATGATGGGTCAAAAAATGTGACTCGGCTCAATTTCGATCTGGCCCACCCAGGTTGAGCCCGTGGTGGGCTAGACTTTCCACCTAACCCACTTACCACCCTATCAATCCAACCCACTAACAACCCACTTAACTATTTCTTATTATATATGTATTATTTTAACAAGATATCATTTTTTTATAGATAAAGATAAAATCAATGTTAAACAACATGAAATTGCTATAAATTTGTTTTCTCAAACCTCCAATGAAATTTAATATTGATGAATAACCACTCTCATGAAATGATTTTTATTTTTTTGTTTTGATTTTTTAAAGTTATACACTTTTTAATTTAAGTTTAATGTTGCATGCATGATACTTAATTTGATAATTTTTACTTTAAATTATAGATTATTTTGTATTAAAATTTATTTTAAATTATATATATATTTTTAAATTAGGTGGGTTGGTGGACCACCCCGTTTAGCCCACCAACTCGTGGTGGGTCGGGCCAGGCTGTGAAATTTTGGGTAATAAACTTGGTGGGCTCGGCCGGGTCAACCCACTTAAAAAATGGGTTGAGGTGGGTCGGGCCAAATGGGTCTGGTTGGCTCGTTTTGACAGCTCTGCCAATGTTCTATCCGTATACTTTCTCTAAGTCTTGTAACATTGATGCCCATCAAATGAAACAAAAGAAAAGCTCAAGTTAGAACATCTTTGCTTTAGCATCTTTTATACATATTGTCTTTATGAAAGTTATTTGTAAGCATCTTTTATACAAACCTTGTAAGCTTGAAGATGCTAGTAAAGAATATTGCAAGCAAGTAGTTTACATTTGTAAGCCATAAATGACATTTTAAGAATACTTGTAAAAGTTTCCAAATTATTGGCAACCTTTCAATTCTATGGTAATGGACATAGTTTTAGGTTGAGTGAATCAATGTAAAATATAAAGTGTTTTTCTCTCCCTTAACTTGCATTTTTTTTTGGACGAAAATGCTTTCAAACTAATACCTATACGTTTATGAAAAAGCTTGCAAAAAATATCACAAAACATTTGACCCCCTATTGTGTGTTTCTTTCTTTTTTAAGGTTGAACTCAACCTAAGCTTGGTTCTCAAAGCTTGATGTAGACTCCCCCAAAATTTAAATGTAAATGTTGGATCTCTATCAACCTAATGCTAGATGACACATTGTACAATCTAACAATCTTACTAATATAAAGATCTTTCAATATCTCTAAAGAGTACCTAATCTAGATTAGGATAAAGTTAACATATTTAATCAATCTATCCTTATAAATCTGGATGGTATAAAAACCCTGTGATTCAAGATAACTCAATCACAAAACCCATACATATGTTGGCCAACTTGCACTCAAGTACACTTAAGGTTGCGACAAACTTGAAGGATTTGGTATTTTACCTTAGCTATCTAGCAAACTGAAAAGGAACACATAAACTAAGCTATCTAGGGATGACAAAACGAGTCCCAGCTCGTAGGTTTCCCCGTAGCCTGCCAATCCACCCCACCTAACCCATCAGCCCGTTGGGCCAAATGGGATCGGGGCGGGTTTGCACGCCAACTCGCCTAATTCTTTTATTTTTAATTAATATTAAAATTTAAATAAGTCACATTAAATTTATTATTATGTTGATAATATGTGATTTGTTGTACAATAAATATGTTGTACAATTGAACTATTTAATTATATGTAATTTGAAATTTTTGGTGTAGTTAATCTGTTAAAAGTTATTATTATTATAATTACACATCTATTTCATTATGTAGAAAATTTGAGATTTATTGTATATCAAATCAAACTAAATTTTTTGTAATTTGAGATTTATTTTATTATTTAAGTGTACTAATTTATGTGAGTCTTTTATATATTGAGAAAGAAATATATCGGAAGAAGTACCTAAAATAAATATAAAACTTTTTTTTCTTCATTTTTAAATTTTTTTGGCAGGTTAGGCCGCCAGCCCAACAATCCATCGTTAGATGGGGCGGGTCATAGCGTTTAGCCCATTTTCACTTGGTGAATCAGTCTGACTTGACTTGTTTTTGGTAGGTTGACGATGGAGTGGGCCTTAATGGGCCAAACTGACACATCTTGTCATCCTTAAAGCTATCTCCATTTTCATCTTAGGTAACCAAAATATTTTCTCAAAGTTTCGATATATCTTGGTGATAGTAGGGTGAAAACTTAGCTTGCTTTTATGTCCCTCTTCTTAGATCATTTTGCTGAGCTCATGGTTATTAGGGGCACATGATTTGTCGGGAGAAATGGGGATAATCACATATTCGTTGGGTGCAATAATCTTTTGGTAAGGGGAGGGGAGTGGGAATATAAAGGCTTGTTAAGAGCCATAGGGAGTTGTTAAAGATGGTGGAGAGTTGTGGGAGTGTGAGATACTAGGTAGGTATGGTTCCTCCACGGGCTTCGAGACAAGAATTTACATACTTTTATATTAGTTAAATTATAATTGTTGTTGAAACATGTTTTTGTTAACATTGACGATTTTTTTTTTTGAGTTTTGCAACCGATGTAGAATCTTCTCCCTGCAATATAGTATTTGGTTTGATTTTCAAATAATTTGGTTAAGTTCTTTTTTTGTAAATTTTTTTTTATTTTGGTTAAATTATATTGGTTGTCCTCTTATTTATTTGTTAATTTATAATTTTAATTTTTCTATTTTAAAATAAAGACATTTAGTTCCACTAATTTTAAAAATACAAAATTTTAGTCATACTATCAATTTGACATTTAAACTTTAACTTTGATCCATGACTTGTTTTCACTTAAATGGTTTATGTTTATAGTGACATTATTTTGGAAATAATTGTTTTTTTTAAAGGAGTATAAATGAGATTTAATAAAAATAAACAAATACCAATCATCGATTAAAATAAATACAAAGAAAGATAGATAATTTTTTTTTGCATGTTTTCCCTATAATTTTTTATCTTTAAATGACATATCATTATTAAATACTATGTTACTTAAGTTGAATGGTGATAGATCACATGTTAACATTAAAATTTAATATTCAATAAATTAACATCAAATGACATAGGCCAAAAATTTTGTAGTTTTAAAATTAAGAAAATTAAATGTTTCTATTTTAAAAAAAGAAGACCAAATTTCTATGTTGACATAAATAGAAAAACTAAAAATACAATTTATCTGTTTATTTTAAAAATGGTTTAATTTTTAACACCCTTACTCATTAAGACAATTAAAAGAAAGAAATCAAGTTGTATATAAAAGACATTGCCTAATATTAAAAAATATGACACATATATTCCTCTTTTATTAACTCATTTATTTATTTTTCTAAAAGATCATGTTTCTGTTCATGATGACCAACATTAATTTATTAGAAAAAAGGAATTATATATTATTCACTTGAAAGAGTACAACATACCAAATACTTAGGTCTTTATTGATATGTAAGAAAACCAAACTAGCTAGAGAAGTTTATTATTGCATCAACCAAACCACTCTAAATGCTCAATCTTCTTTCCTCAGCCAATATGACTAATGCATGCACTATTTAAGAGAACCAAACACCATTACTATTTTTGTTTTTTATTTGAAGGACCACTAATTGTAGTTGACCTTGAGCATGTCAATGAAGTTCTTCCCCTCACCAATGTCATTGGATGCCAGAAAGTCAAGAAAATCTCTAACACTACTTTTCTTATACTTCTTAGGATGTTGATCATCCACAAGCTCTTTAGCTGTCTCCATTTTGTCATCCATCCCCAAACTGAACAAGCTGGTGATCGAGATCCTTGTCCTGTCCTTATTAAGGGTAGCCCTGTGCACAACACTCTTGTACAACCCATTGCTTAGTACCTCAAAATGGTCACCCACATGAACTTGAAGGGCACCAGGAATGTGTGGGACAACCTTCCATGTGCCATCCTCCAAATCCATTATCTCTAGCCCAGGGAGGCTTTGGTGCAAAATGGTTAGGCAACTATAGTCAGAATGTGGGGGTAGCCCTAGTGCAATCTCTGGTTCAGGGCAGGGTGGATAGCAATTCACTGCCATTACTTGCATGCCATCTTCAATCTTTTTGGTGAGATATGTGGGATCTAATTCAAGACTCTCAATCAATGCCATCATCACTTCTAAGCCCAATTTCTTCACTTCTTGACAATATATCCCCATCTTTTCCCTGAAAAGTTTTAAGGATTAAATTTAATTTTTCTGTTAGTGTAAACTTTTTATACATTATCATTCAAGACGTATTATCATATTGTTAAGAGTTTAAATTTAACACCACTACTACTTGGGGCATCAAATAAACCCTTCTTAAGAATATAATAATTCATGTTTGATTGATAATTTAAAAAAGTTTACACTCAGAGAAATCAAAACTTAAAGAATCAGTAAAGTGCATCAGTGTTTGCAAATTTGCCAAATTGAAGAGTGTGGAAAATATGGAATATTGACAAATGTTTTCATGAACTTCAAATATAATACTACTAGGATTAGTTATATCTAGGTTGCCATGTTCTAGGATTAGTTTAAGTTATTGATCAGGAAAGCTTTTCTAACCCCAAGAGTAAGGAAAACCATCTAAAGCTTTCCAATCTGTGGCGAAAAAGTCTTACATATATAATTTGTCTTCTGTTGACAAAATAATGTTACATAAATAGTAAAAAGTTTGACATTTTCCTGTTTAAATATTACTATTTTAACTTTACATATTTCCAATATCTTACGAGTCATATGTTAAAGCTTATCCACTGTGCACATATTACAAAACACCCGACAGATGAATTAATGAAATTGAAAGGAAGAACTAACACAATAGAATTCATGATATATAATAATATTACAGCAGGAGTTTAGTGATATCACGGCTTTCGACAACTTTAGCCTATACAGCTACGTGGATAACGTAGCACCATGGTTGGTAATGAGTTCCACCTTTAAAATGTAATGGATAATAGAAAATTAATAATAAAATAAATAAAAACATGTATATATGATGAGGAAATTAAAAGTTGTATGTGTTACAAAAAAAAAAAATATACTTTAAAAGTTGTTAAAGGAATAATGTGTTTAATAACAAATTTTTGCTTGAACCAAATATTTCAGTTGTATGACTTATCATACATGAATTAGGAAAAATAAAATATTTATTATACCAAAACAAGAAAGAAAGCACTTATTTATTTATTTTATTGAAAATAGAGACCCCTAACTTATAAACATTTAATTGAAAATAATAAGAAAATTTTGTTTAAACTATTTTAATATTTTTTAAAAATTTTATTTTATCTCTGTTTTACATATTTTACTTTCTTCTTAGTTCTTTACTTTGAGGAATAATGTGTACATCTGCTCATATTTAATTTAAACTATAGATAAATGAGCTGTATTTTAAGTGTAAGAGATATCTATATGGCTGTGATACAATTAATTAGGCCATCTCCGTGACCTATATTCAGTGCTGATCTTTGTTTTCCATGTAATTTCAATTTGTTATTAATTAGTATAGCTAAATTTCTTATATAGAATTATCAAATCAAAATTTCAACTTTTAAGATTTTCACAGCAAAGGTGCATGGTGGATGAATAGTGAAATGACGTACTGGTTTTGGCGCTAGCCGAAGATTGGAAAATTGGGTTGTTTCATTAATTTCCAAAGATCGTGGGAAGCTAACAGATATACATATATATCACTTACAAAGTTATTGGAGTGTTTGTTTTCATATGAATCTAACACATACTCTTTTGGGGGTGCAGGTCATATATATATAGGTCAATGAATCTAGTTTTCCAAGTTTGGAAAATAAAAAAGTTATAAATAAGATGAACATTCCAGATGAAATCCATAGTATTGACTCAATAAATTAATCTTATTCTATCTCTTGATTTGCGGTTGAAAGTCTTTTTATTATGAACATTTTGTCATTAAAGTAATGCAAAATGAAAAAAATTAAATAAAATAAAAAATATAATACGTACTGATTGTACTTAGTTGTTTAGGTGCCTCAATACAATGTTTGTGATTGTACATGAGTTAGAGAATTTTTTATACTTTAATTTGCTTATCAATAGAATAGAAAGAAACACATATATGCATATTCCTTTAATTTTTCCCTGTGAATTATCTGGCACAATCAATTTGACATTGAGTAAATGAAACCTGTAGTCCTGTGGATTTTCTGGCCACATGTGAATCCAATCCTTTAAGGGGTGAGCATAGTGTTTGAGAAAAACCCTCCAAAATTTGACCTTGTCAATTCCATCTTTTAAGCTCGTTCCATACCTCACTGGCTTGTGCACATCATTTGACATCAATTTGACCTTCTCCTTTGTTGGCAAATCAAAAAATTTTGAAGCCACAAATAGAGCCTCATCAAGCACTGACTCACCCACTCCATGGTTCACCACCTAAAAGTTTCCCAATAAGTCAATTATATATAAATATTGTTCTACGTACGATAATGGCTATCATGTCTTTTCAAATGTAACTTTTTAAAAAGAATTAGAAAACAATGGGAATGAAAATAATAAAAAAAAATTGTAATCTGTCATTGTAGATATTTTATAAGGAGGAGTAAGGGGAATCACATGATTAATTATGAGTAATGATATTTATACACCTTAAAAAATGGGGTTCTATCGGTTGAAGGAAGAGATTGATAGGGGGAAAAAAAGTAAAAGAAAAGAATGATAGACGTGACAAGAAAGGAAAATAAAAATAAGAATAAAATAAAGTGAAAAATGATAGAAAAGAAAATGTTAATGTGTATTTATAATTATTTATTGATAATATAGTTACGACAACAAGCGGCTTACACTTGGTTTGCATTAAAAAAAAATAATAATACGAAGTTTGTTATAACAATGTTACTAACATAACATATTTATAACACTTATTTTGTTATATTACATGTTTATAAACCCAGATCCAACATTAAAAACAAGAATTTCTTAGGTTATGAACCAAAAGTAGAAGAAAAAGAAGACCTTACTTGAAAGAAACCCAAGCGACGACAAGCATCTCTTATTTCTTGAACAACACGAGACCTTGTTGCTGAGCCATTCTTAAGTGCAGCAACGTCAATAACAGCAACATTAGCATATTCCTTGGGTGCCAAATTGGGCCTATGCAATGTCGAAATCACATATTGTTGAGGAACACAAGAGAGACCCTTCTCTTGAGCAGTGTCCAATGTGGAGAATGAACTTGAACTCCCACGCTCCATCTTCATGTTGCCAACACCAAAAGCTCAACGTTGCAAATTCGAGCTAGTCACAACAGAATTCAGCATTTTATAGCTAAAGTTTGATGCCATGATGACTTGGTGATTAAGTTAGTTCGTGCTTTGAATTGAGACCCTTACGATTGTTATAATGAAAGCTGGTATAATATGTTCAAGAATACAACGGGCGCACAACTTTTCATTTTGATTTGCAGTTAAGTATCTGAACTTGGTCTAGTTTCTTGAAGAAGATTATTAATGCAATTTTAAAGTTGATAGGATTCATGTTCAGCCATTTTTCTAATGTGTGGGATTCCCTTTTTATATTAGCGCGTTTATCCTACCATAAGGGACAAAATTGGTCTAATGAGTAAGAGACAAATATATCTCCTTAAAAAAAAAAAAAGTCCTATGTTAGTAAAGTAAACTAACTTACACTTATTTCCTTTTTAGAAGAAGTTAACAAGTCACATTTAAGTGTATTTTAAAGATACTAATATAATAAGTGGAGAAAAAATGGGAAGAAAAAATAAAAATAAGTTTTCACTTATATAAGTTAGTTTAAACTTATAAAAAAAATTATTTAATTTACTTTCTAATTTTTTTCTTCTTAGAAATATTGTTAGAAAAATTTACTTAAATAAACTCATATATACACACTATTCCGTGTTTGAAAATTAAAATAAACTCTACTTTATTTATTATAGTGATTATATATTTTACGTTCAAATTATAAGAATAATATTTAACAAATATAATTGTTAATTCGATTTTTGTTCTATATAAAAACCCTTTGAGCAAGTTGCTGTTACAATTAATATCACGAGATTATTCTCTAATACTGAAGCCATAAAGAAAATTAAAAAAAATTCTGCTCTATTTATTCAATTGAGTCAATACCATGTTTGAATTGTGGTGACTGTTGGTACCTCTAAAAATTTCGATTTTAAATCTAATTTTTACACTAAGTGTTAAGTGGTCGTAACCAATTTAATGTTGGTGTAATAGTGTTCTTAAATGTTTCTTCATGTGTAAGGTAACAATGTTGTATGACGTTAGAATCGTGACGCCATTACCGTTCTGATTCTTATCACAAATTTTATGGTTTCTCCCCTTCTAGAAATTGTTTAGTTTTGTAAAGGTTTCATGAATTCCTCACCTTCAGGATTTTTTCCTCGTAATAAAATATACTGACTTTCAACATTCTCAAATTTAAAACCTGACTTAACTATTTTAATTTTTAAAAAAAATGAATAAGTATTAACTTTGGTTTTTTAAAAAGTATTTTTATTTTTATTTTTATATAATTTATAAATTATAACTATAGATTTTAGCTCTTGCTATTATATAATTATTTTTAACTATTCATTTGTTAGCTAAAAAATTAAATGACTGTCTTAAATATTATACATAATTATTAGTGATATTATGTTAGTGTGTAATATATATAATTTTTTTTTATGATTTTTAAAACAAATATTATTTATTTATTTTAAAATTATTGCTAGGAATCTAAAATAGTGATTTTAGATTTTAGAGATATAAAAATCAAAAAAATTTATTATGAAGATTAAAATAAAATTTACTCATTTTAAATGGACAAAAAAGTAAATGCTTACAAATTCTAGAAGGATAAAAATAGGAAAAATCTTATAGAAACTAAAATCAAAACTTATAACACTCCAAATCATCTACTAACATATTCGTTTAATTAGTAATTATTTTGAATATTTATATGATTATTTTTAGTAAGTATTTTTGTTATATATATTATTTGGTTTTATAATTAAATAATTTACTATATTATAAGGGAAGAGTTTTATAACAAAAATTAATTGTCTTAATTGTTGGAGTTAAGAGAGAGTTATTTCTTATAAGAGGGGTTAAATGAATAATTCATTTTTACCTTATTACTTTTCTGCTTTAGTGTGTTTATGCTATAAAAAATATTTGTGGTAAAAGTTAAGGGAGATCATTTCGAAGATCCACGTCCATCAAATGCTTTTCGAGATAGGAGAGTGAGTAGTCTCACTCTAGACATGAGATGTATGTTAAGTAGTGAAATTAACTCTCAATTTTTTCTCTATTTCTTGTATTGCATGAAGGTTTTTTTTTTTTTTTTTTTTTTCCAATTAATTGTATTATGTCTTTTTGGTCTTCTCTAAGATTCTCCATTATCCTATTTAATGTTGTGTATTTGTTTATGCCTTAAGGTCACTACTATCTTTTCCTTTATTTTCGTTGTTGTTTTCTTTACGATCTGCCTAATTATTGTTTTATTTTTATTTTCTTTACGATCTGCCTAATTATTGTTTTATTTTTTATTTTTAAGTTCATGAATATGTTTCATGTAATAATTAAAAATTGATAATCAATGATTAATATACCAAGAAGTATTTATTATTATTATTATTATTTTCTTATAATAAAAAATTTGTGTAAGATGTACAAGTAATAAAAGTTAAACTAAAGAATAAAACAAGATAACCTTGTGTTGTGTCGTTGTTCCCTTTTGTCCCACTGATGGAGAATTCCAGTGTTGCATGACTAAAGCATTTTTCACGCGTTTTGTTTTGTTTTGTTATTTAGGAGTCTTTGAATTCGTTTGCCATGTGTCTCTTGGCAAAATAAGTTTGTAGGAGGTCTCCAATGTCATAAACTCTTGCCAATTATTTCATTCGTCTCATATTATTTGTTTTAAAAATAATACATTTTTTAAGAAGTTTTTCTCAAGTTACTATAATAAAATGAGTTTTTAAAACAAATTAAAAATCCTTATTAAAAATGATAAAATATGGTTATGAATCCATTTAAGCGTTTAGGTGGGAAACTAATAATGAAATATTATTAAAAAAATAATCAATACTTTATTTTTAGGTATAAAAATATTGAGACAACCTATGACAGTTAAAAGGCATCGGTGAAATTAGTTGAAAATATTAAAAGTATTAATATAATTTATGTTTATGATGTAAAACTACTTTTCTGATTTCACCAAAAAAAATTCTGATAAAAGAATTGCTTATGACATTTAGGGAATATCCTAAGAATATTAATTCTGATTAACATTTATTAAAAAATAAAAATTGGATTGTAAAAAATAAAGGAAGGCTTATATTAGGAGAGGGTGAATTGCAATTTACAAATTTGGGTTGAGTTTTATCTCTTGACTATATGTATCTTTGGTGGATTCCTAAAATGACCTTAAATTATGTTGTTACAACGGGTCCAGTGGGTGGTAAAAATAAATTATAAAAAATGTCGCAAGCAATACTTTGTTTAGAAAAAATAAAATGAAGACCTTTGAAGGTGAACGAAATCATTTGTTCGGAAATCAATTATGTATAAAAGTTACAACCGTTTGTCATAAAATCGGTTGCTTTTAATTAAATATATATACAAAGTATTTATAATATTAAAAATATTTATCTCATCTTAAAATAAACTTTTTTTGAGTAATTCTTATATTCCATAATGTTACATCATACAATTTTATAATTCAATAACTTTGAAAGTTATATATATTTTTTTTCGTCTTTGAAGTATCTACCGTCAATAACAGTTGTATATACAAGGTAGGATTCGAACCCATGACCTTGCTTAAGCATGGATCAACTCCTATCGCTGAATCACACGCTTGGAGTTAACTTTCACGTTATATAACTCTATGATTATTCGTCAACTTTATTTTATTGTAACAATTTTTAGTATTTTTTTTCTCAATTTTTAATGAGTGGTCAAATCACCCATCTTAACTAACCTGATAAACTCAAATGGAATCATGATTTTCAGTTTAGATTGTAAAGAAATATTGAAAAATTTGGTCTAATCTAAATCGATTAATATTGTTGATCGAATTTAATTTAAATATTTTCTAAACTCGTACTAATATCATTATAAAGAAGAAAAAGAAAAAGAAAAAAAAAAAAAAACTCGTATTAATACAACCCACTTCTACTCGCCACAATTGTGCTTGCAATTTCAGACCCATTATTATTGTACAGAGGACGAAGATCAAGGTGATCTCCATTCTCATGTATATAAAGAGTTGGATTTTGGACAACACATTGAAGGGAGAAGGGTTATTGGTTACGAAAGCTCTAATGGAATATTTAACACATGTATGATGTATCGGAGGCAAATTCTATTCAAATTAAGTATAATTAATTACTATAGACAACAAAAACATCTATAAAAAATATTTAACAAATCTGCATATTAAAAATTTGGATTTAAAATTATTATCTTAATTAATTTAGATTAACAAGTTTTAAATAAACACAAAATTCAAATATCATTATCTTAATTTTAAAATCACACAAATTTACATCCTAGATTTAAATGAAAAGAATAATGTCCTAAAAAATTAATGTTATACAAAACTTAAAAAAAGTATTATCCATTTTCAAATTACAAATATTTAGACAAGTAATGAATTTGATGAAATATTTTTATATTTTAATAAGGTTTTTTTTTTTTTTTTTTTTTTTAAGTAGTTCAATCAATTCTTTGCTTCAAGAATTAAGAAATCCTTCACTTCAAGTTAATAACTTAAATTGAAATGTTTTAATGTTTTGTGAGATATATAACCAATTATATATAAGATTCCTGAACACTAGCCGAACCCGAACCCAATTAAGAGGACACTAGCAAGATAATTTGTTCTCAACTTTCTTTCTCCTCCCACTGAGTAAGTTGTATTCCCTCAAAATGCTGAATCTCTTTGTTAATTCGATTACCAGAAAAAGAAAAAGAGAGAAAATTCTTTCATGATTTTCTCCAGCTTCGTATTTCTCGTTTTCTTTCCCTTTTCGTTTTAAATTCTTTCCTAAAATCCAATTTCATTTTTTTTCTTGACAGTTTTCTTGAGTGCATGGTTTCTTTTTGTCCATCTTCTTTCATCGCAATAATCAGAGTCAAAGGTTAGTCTTTTCTTCTTCTTAATTATAAGTTTCTTAATTAATCACGTCGATAATCATGCTTAATTAAATTTGCTCAAAGCCCGAACGTACGTTGTACGCTGAAAAAACCAATAGTTTGTTGCCCAACAATAGTGAAAATGGCTATGACCCCATTATCCAATAGCATACAAATAATTAATTTCTCTAGTTGTACTTTTTCTTGGGTAGATAACTAATTTCTTTTCCAATTTTTTCTATGATTCTTGCGTTGTGTTCTTGTTTTACAGTTTATTATAATGGCATCTTCGAGCGTGATTAACTCAAAGGTGTGGAAGGGTATATGGCGCGCGGAGGCGTCCCCGAAATGCAAGAGCTTCGCGTGGCGCGCGTACATGGAGGAACTACCCGTGAAAACCTTCTTGTTGGAGAAAGGCGTGATCGAGGACAAGCTGTGTCCGTGTTGCGGCGAGGGCGAAGAGGACACCACGCACGCGCTGCTCGCGTGCGAGGAGGTCAAGCGCATCTGGTTCGTTGCGCTTGACCTCAAAGTGGAGTCGCTATCTGCCGCAACCAAGTGCTCGCTCTCGCAGTGGATAGAGGAGTGCGTGAGCACGTTGGACAAGAAGGAGATGGGCATGGTTTGCGCCATCATGTGGGCGATCTGGCACAGGCGCAATGCGTTGGTTTTCACTGAGAAGAAGCTTGACTATGCGCACGTTATTGCTAAGGCCAGGTCCATGTTTGTTCCCGTGGAGTGGCAACCACCGTCGCATCCCAACGTTAAGGCCAACTTTGCTGCTGCTGTAAGAGACAACGTTGGAACTGGCATGGGAGTCATTTTTAGAAACTCTCTCGGTTCAACTATCGCATCAGGTACGTTAATTAATTTCTTCCTTTTTCTTTTAATTTGAGAAGTAAAGTTCTTGATTAAATTGATCATCATTACTAAACTCTAATTATTAAATATATAGTGATACAAAGATCTAATATGCAATTGACTTTTTATCCATATATCATTTTGTTTATAAAAAACACGTATGGGTACCCATGCTAATAAGAAAAATTAGTACAAATTTATTATTTATTTATATTTTTATAACCATTTAGTGCAAAATATTTATTATTGTCAATGATTTTTTTTATTGAGAAGTTAGAATAACCACTTTTAATGAAGTCTTATTTTTTTTCTCTCAACTATTTATTTTATTTATTACAAGAGTCAAATACCTTCCTTAAAATTAAAGAAAATGATTCTAATTTTATTCAAACCATAGCTTGTTGATTATTGTTACTAAATGTGATTAAATGCAACTAAAAAATATAATTAATTAAGCTCTAGTCAACAATAAAGTCGGTAAATTCATACTATATATATAACACAACTATTTAAAAAAATTTATTGTTACAAATATTACTTGGGAGATAGGAGAAAGAGTAGTAAAATTTGTTGAATATTGTATCGAAACGATTATGTTTGAGTAAATAATTATTTAACTCACGATACTGCAGGTACAAGTTTACTAGCACAAGAGTGTTTTGAGTCCCAAATTGCTGAGACACTGTGCATGAGTTGGGCAATAGAGCAATCAGGGGAGTTGGGTCTTTCGGACGTTATCTTCGAAACCGATTGCCAACGGTTGTACAGAAAATGGAACCAAGAAAGCAGCAGCAGCAGTAGTGCCTATACGACCTACTTCGAGTCACTGGTAGAAGATTGCAAATTCATGATCGAAGGGACAGGATCGTCTCTGGCGTTGGTGCGTCCCTCAGCCAATAAAGTGGCACAGTGCTTAGCCACACTGGCTTTTGACTATGGCGAGAGAGGTTGGATCGAGGAGGTGCCGCAGGAGGCTTCTCTCTATTTACAAGCTGATGACAACGCAATTGCCGATATTGTTGCAGCTCATCAATGAAACTACTCAGCATTTTTCTTTCAAGCTCAATCGAACTCAACATGTATAGAGAATAAACACATATTTACTCGTCTTACAATTTACTATTTTGAGATTTTTTTTTCACGTGTACAATTTAGTTGGAGTTTGTCGCTATCCTTATATATATATATATATATATATATATAGACTTTATTGTGTTG